GCTCTACCCTTGGAGATATTCAAAACCTGGCTGCACAGGCTGTGGGCAACCTGCAGTAGCCAACCTAGCTTTGAGCAGGTGGTGGGACGAGACGATCTCCAGAGGCACCTCCAGCTCCAGCGATTCAGGGGCTCTCCCCAGCCCCAGCACCTATGGAAACCTCTTACTTTGCTGCTTTTCTGCCCTGGCTCTGCCCCTGCCAGCCCAGGCCCATCACTCAAGACCTTTGCTCTTCCCAGGTCTCCAGTCCCCAGCACAACAGGAGCCATCCAGCACCGAGATCCCGGGCTCCAGCAATGCCTCCCCATGAGCTGACCAAGAGCCCAACGGGCCAGAGCTGGGCAAACGCAGCCAGAGCCGGGGCAGTCCAGGGGCTCTGCTTGCTGCCGTTGGGGGCAGCCCCCGACCAGCCCTGCTCCAACACAGGCACAGGGATCACGGTGCCCTTTGGCGGCCTTGTGCCCAGCCTGAGAGCAGCTGTGCCCGCGGGAAATGCCCCCACCCCCATGACCCTTCCCTGTCCCCAACGCTGCCCTCCCCAGGGTGCCCGGGGCACAGAGACCTGACGGGCACAGGCAGGGCAGGGAAGAGGGAGGCTGCCTCCCTGCAGGCAGCACGGAGGGGACCTGCTGGAGCAGAGCACATGCCCATGGCAGGAGCCACCTCACAGGCATGTGTGCTGGTCCACAACTGCACCCCCACAGCAGCAGGAGGCAGCACCCGAGGGGCCCTGGGGCAACAGCGGGGTTGTGTCTTGCTTCCCCAGTGCTGGGAGTCACCGTGACCCTGATCAGCACTGGTGTCCCAGGCAGCACAGTAAGAGACAGCCTCTGCCTCAGCTTGGACCCCAGGGATGGGTAACGTGGCCATGGAGAGTGGCACATTCCCAAGTGCTGTACATCCCCTCCCCAGATGACAGGGGACAGGCACAGACCTGGGGCTCTACGGGACAGCTGAGCCGGGACACCAGGCACAGCCACCTGCAGCGCAGGGCAGCAAGGGCAGGGCCATGGCGGGCACCTGTCCCACCATCAAACAGGGACAGCAGAGACTCCTAACAGGCCCCTGTGATGG